TGGAATGCTGGTTCGCATTTTGCGTTTTGTTTTTGCAAAATGTCGCGGTAAGCAAGAGTCGGCACCGTCTTTTATTTTATCCAACAAGGAAAGGAAAAAAGCACAGAAAAATTCCTTTTTCGAGATGTTTCTCGGGTCCGGGGGGTAGATTATAGAAAGGGAAGGTGTTAGCACCCTTTCTATCCATGGTTATCCACGGGCTCTTAGGTACTTACTCAAAGTGTTTTCAAAAATTTCTTTTCTTTGTGTTTGTGGGTTTGAAAGAAGTTTTTGTTTGAAAGGTGTAAGTGCGAAAAGTTTTTGTTTTGTTTTGAGAGAGAAAGTACTTAAGAACCATCTACCTACTCGAAAAATGAATCAATTTGTACTAATGTCCTTTAGACAATGCTATCCCATTATTGATGAGTAGGTAGCATCGTTGTTAGAGTTTGAGGGTCAATTCGATTAAGGGACGTGTGGTCACTAAACAATATTAGGACGCCTTAGCGGTAACCCTAATGTCTTAGATCATTTTTCCGAGGCAACCGTTTCGAGGCAACTATGATCTTTGGACAGGAGGGAGACCTCTAAAACATCCTATACTCAAAGACCACGTTCGAAGGCAACCAAGTGAGGTGTACCCTAAGAGTGCACATGTGCGGGTGTGTTATTTCGGTTAATTTTATCTGTACATGTCATGGGTGAGCTATGTTGATTTTAGGTTCATACATTTGATCTTGTCATGCATTCCCTATTACCAAACATCTAACAGTTTATAAATTGCGGAAATTAAATCTAACTATTACAAGGCGTCGGGTATTTACATCGCCAAAAACAACCCTTGAAATTAAAATGCAGAAAGTAAAATAAAGCGATAAAATAAGTAAAGTTCTATTTAAACTATTACATTCCGGGAAACAATTACATCAATATGGTAAAATGGATCGCGCGCGGAAAATTAAATCGAATGCATTTTTTAGGGTTTTGACCCTTTTTTGAAAGAAAGTGATTTTTTGTTATTTGGATTAAAAAGGAATTAGGTCTAAGTTAATAATTAAATTAATAAACTAATTAATTAATTAAAACATTTTTTTGGATTTTTTTTTTATATTTAAAGAAATAAAATAAATTTGATCAAAGTTAGTAAAAACCTAATATTCTACATTAATTTTAATTATTGCAAAAATATTAAAAGTTATACCTAATTAAAAACTAAATTAATTAATTAAATATTTATTTACAAAAATAAAGTGATGAATTTAATTTTAATAAATAAAATATATTTTTTGGTTTTTAATTTTATGAGGAAAAATTCTAATTGGTTAGTGATTTAAATAATAAAAATAATAACAATAAAATAAATAAAGAAAGAAATGGAAAAAGAAATAACCAAAGGGGGGTTTTGGGCCCAGATCAGGGGTGAGACTAGCAGCTTTTTGGCCCAATAATCCCTTGGCCTGGTTAACTATTCTGTTTCCATGCATACACGTTGACTTGGGCGCATGGTGGACTTTCATTCTTGACGACCAGTTCTGGCTTGGGGCCATCTTGTGCTTTGATATTTGATGGTGTATGGTGGTCTGCAAGGCAAGAGGTACGCTGGAACACCTGAAAGAAAATGATAACAAATATATTAGGGACCTGGGATTCGAACCCAGGTCTTGTAGGCCAATGCAAGCGCTCCACTACCACTCAGCCAACGTGTTTTACTTGTTAGTGTATTAGGAATTAATAATAATAAAATAAAGACAAATCAATGGATCAGAAAAGAAATAAAAAGTGCGCAATGTTTGAAACAACCAATGGGAGAGAGACGCGTCAGCATCTTCTTCGTTGGACCTGGTTATTTACCTACGGATTTATATCCGCAGCTAAATTTGTAGCTCGTTCCTAAAATCTAACCCAGGCCATGAAAATCAATCCCAAACACATGGTTGTACTCGTCTCCTTCCACTGATCATGCCCATGTCCATTATTAGCATCAATTTTGCCTGCAATTAAAACGCCCAAAAACGAAGAACCAAGAACCCTAGAATCGGCTAGGGGGTTACAGGCCATGAAAATGCAATTCAATAATGCAAAAAGCTTCTAAATGAAACGAAAAGCATGAATATGCAAAGATTTGGGAAGAAAAGTGCAAGAACTATGAGATATGAATTCAACTGAAAGGCAAGTTTCAGAGAGACTTACAGCGCTATTGAAGAGGTGAATGGCCTTGCTTTTGATTGCTTCTCACTTAGTGGATATCCAGCAAGAGAATCACGTTGAGTTTTGGCCTTGAATTGGACTCTAAGGGTGATTTCAGTTTCAAGCTTTTTCAAGTTTTTTTCAAGTTGGGTTTTGATGTTTATGCAGCCTCTAGGTTCTAATTCTCGTGCCTTTGCCTTGTATAAGTAAAATGGAGTGATTTAGGTCAAGTTTCTTGGGTTGAATCCTTATGCATTGATGATTTAGGATTTGATTTGATCCTCCATGGAAAAGCTTCCAAATTTGTCAAAAATTTAACTTTTTGTTCATGATATGATGAGATACGAGTTTGATCATGTCCATGATGATAATTAAAGCCTGTATCAATCAAAAATATACCAAGTGATCAATATTTGGATTTTATTTGGATTTAAATTGATTTAAAATGAATTAATTCAATAAAAATCAAATAAAATAGAAAAAATAATAAATGGACGCAAGACTGAAGATAGGACACGTGTGTAGTGTGACAAGATCAAATCAAGTGAAAAAAAGTGGGCCCATTTGACAAAAATTGAAGTTTTGGGGATAGTTGACTTTTGGCAATTTTGCAAAAATGCCCAACTTCAACAATGCATAACGTCTTCAATTTTGAACTTTTGGAGGTGTTCTTGGACTTTTTAGAAACCTTGAGATGTCCTCTAACCAACCCTTTTGGTATAATATCATTTTGATATTCCATGCTCAAGTTATAATCTTTGGGAAAAAAGGTGTTTTTGTTGACTTTCAAAAATGACCTATAATGTCCAAATTTGTAACTTCTTGTGAGTGCATTTCTTGATCTTGGGGTGTGAAGATGGATTGTATGAAATTGCATCCTCTTAAAAATTAGCTTTGGATGGGTCATTTCTCATAAAGTATGAGAAAGTTATGCTTGGTCAAAGTTGAGTTGACTTTTCCTACAAAACCCTAATTTAGCAACTTTTGAGTCTTGATGAATTTTGAGCAATCCTTGATGAATCATGATCAACCCTTTATCAAATTATGAAATATACTTCAAAATGAGAAAGTTGACAAAAAATCTTGAAGTTTGACTATTTGTAGGTCACAGTTGACTTTTGCCCTAGCACAATCGATTTTTGGACCTCTTGAGCAATTGACTGACCAAACTTCCTCTGCAAGGCTAGAAATTTGACATGGATGAACTTGAGAACATATTAGGACATTGGAGAGCACTTGAGGTCATTTGGATTCAAGGACCTTGATGCAACACAAAACCCTAATTTGAGATTGACTGTCTTAGGAGATGATTTGATTGTCCAACTCTTGAGCAATCTTGAGTCACTTGAAGATTTTTCTTGCAATGTCTTGGGAAATATGAGAGGACAAATTTTGGGGTACAACAGGTAGCCCTAAGGTTTGGATTAACAAAAGGGAAACGTCTACCTAATGTTAGCATGCATGGTTTACAACCTAAGGTCTAACTTGCATCCGAAAGGAGCAAGCACATCCTAAGGGAACATGGTATGTACAAGGATAAAGCAAACAAGATAATAACTCAAGAGAGCACACCTAAAGAGATCCTATCTAGGTTAGAATTCCAAATAAATTCTAACAAAACTATCCTATAGGTAACATGCAATGAGAGCGAAGTCGTGATCTCAATTTCTAAATTGAGTGACTCATCGATAAACAAGGAATAAAAGAAAGCGATAAAATCCTATAGGGAGCATGCATTGAGAGCGAAGTCGTGATCTCAATTCCTAAATTGAGTGACTCATCGATCAACAACCAAAGAAACAAACACAAGCACAACACATAATGCAAATGAAGTGTGGAATGCCTGCTACACGTCTTTAAACAGCGACTTCGAGCGCATGCTCTTTATTTCCTACTTCTCATGGCATCTAGAAAGCAGTAAAATCCTACTTCTCATGATTTTTAGAAAAGAGGTAAGGTGCGGAAATAAGGAATAAAGTAAGGCCATGATAATACCGAACAGAGAAGTTCTGTTGCCTCTTCAAAACCATGCAAGCAATAAGAAAACTCTACAGAAGTTGCTCCGTGTGAGTGATCAAAAAATTAACCCCCGAGCATTCCACATTGTGAAAATTACATCAATCATTCTATCACAAAATCTTAGCTAAAAATGTGAAAATGATTATTAAACATAAAATAATATAGAACTCTAATAAAATTCTAAAGAGAAAACTCAAAAAAAATTCTAAAACATTCTACTATTTTTGTATCATTATCATCATAAAAATCATGAAAAAATGAAGCTAAAATTAATAAATGGAAAGCTAAAAGTAGTAAAACAGATGGGGTGTAAATTCTAGGCCGAGGTGTTTGGTACAACAACAATGGCACTAAGCCCAACCCAAGTATATCCAGCCTTATTTCTAGTTTTTTATTAACATGATTGATTTTCTGATTATTGAAGAAAAACAAAAATGAAGGAAAATACTGGCCATAAGCACAAAACGTCGTCGTGTGGACCTATGAGGCCAAATTAGAAACCCTAAAGCTTCTTCCTTACTCGCCTTCGTTGTTCTTCAGCCGCCGAAACAAACTCCAATAGCTTACTCCTCCATCGTGAGCACTCTCGTCAACCTCTCAAATTCATCAGTGTCGTGCCTTTGACCTCAACCCTTAGTCGTCGTCTCATCACTTGTGTCTTCTTCTTCTTCTTCCGACGAATCTCCACCATAACCACCGTTATCGTCACCAGAAAACATCAATTGATTGTACAAAATGCCGCATCTTAACCTTATCTCTTCAAACCTTCACCTTGAATCACTGTTAGGTCCATGGAAGTGCTTCAATTGAAGCTTTCAGCAGCGCTTTGCCAGCGCGAATTCTGATGATTCTTCAATGTCGACGGAAGAAATCAGGAACCTGATCTTTAAAGAAATTAGGTAAGCATCCAAAATCCTTTTCTTCTTCTTATTCGCCTCTTTTCTGCGTGATTGAATTAATGTGTTGTTGTCCTTGCAGCGCGCAAAAGTTATTGTGGTTGAAAGCAAACGATGTTGCACTGATGCTCTTGTGATTTCCACTTTCTTGCAGTGATGTAAAATAGAAGATGATGATTGAAGTTGTGCTTGATGCAGATTAAAGATTAAAGTAGTTTGCATAGAATTGATGAAGATGCCGATTCTTGAAGGTTGATGATAGAGAAGGATCGTGCAGCGGTTGAAGGTTGCAGAATATTGATGAAGGTTGAAGTAAATCGGTTGACGGAGGTGGAGATGGTGATGAGGAGTTCAGAGAGAGAATCCATATTTCTTATTGGTGAGCTTTTTTGTTTTCTGAATCTGAGTTTGTTGATTGAATCGTGAATCTCTCTCCCCTTTTTCTGTTACTTTTCTGTTACGCCTTTCTGTTATATCCTGCTAGCTCTCTCTCCTCTTTTTTGTTACTTTTCCCTTCTATTATCCTCTTTTATTTGACCGTTAGAAATTGGCTAGACAGAGGTTCGGGGATATTGAGTTCTGTTAGTGTTGTACCCCAAAATTTTCTCTCTCATTTCACTCAAGACATACCCATTAAGGTTCTCAATTTGCTCAAGGATGACTAAGAGTTGACCAAGCAAACTCTCCTCCTAAAGGAAATGAACCTCAAACTAGGGTTTCAATTTTAAGCAAGATGTGTGAGTCCCAAGGATTCCAAATGTTCTCAATTGTCCTAATATGTCCTCAAAATCATCCATGCCAAATTTCATGTCTTGAACAACGAGTTTGCTCAATCAACTGCTCAAATGCCTGAAAATCAACTGTACTAGTTCAAAAGTCAACTGTGGCCCAAATACAGTCAAACTTCAAGATTTTTGGTCAAAAGAAACATCTTTAAGAAATATCCATCATTTGATCAAGGGTTGATCATGATTCCTCAAGAAATGCTCCTAACTCATCAAAAGTCAAAAATGGCAAATTAGGGTTTCTGTAGGAAAAGTCAACAAAAACACCTTTTGGGTCAAAACTCCTTACATGAACATGGAAGATCCAATTGATATGAAATTAAAAAGGTTGTTAAGAGGACACCATAAGTTCTCTAAAAAGTCCAAGAACACCCTCTTAGGGTTAAAATTGAGAGAGATATGCATTGCTAAAGTTGACCAATTTTTGGAAAAATGCATGAAGCCAATATTGACCAAAATTAAATTTTTTCCAAATGGGCCCATGTTTTCATGCTTGAAACTTGTTCTTAACATGGCCCACGACCTCTGAGCTCACTCATACATTATTTCATTATTTTTATTATTTATTTTGATTTTTTATTCATTAAAATTCAAAATGAAATAAAGAAATAATGGAAAATATGTAAGATATGATTTGGGAATCTTTTCTCATCAAATAAAGGATAAGATATGTTGGAAAATGAAAGGAAAATCGTGGAGGGAAGAAAGATTGGATTTGTTTCGAAAACAAGCCAAAAATAAAATAATTGGAAAGAAGGTATTTCTCATCAAAGCATGGATTTTTCTTCTACAATTAAAAACCTAATATGATTCACAACATAAGGACATCAACCTTAGACCTAATGCACACGTGAAAGTTGCCTCCAAACCAAGAACAAAGTTGCAAAATTATTCAAGTGTGGTGCAAATCAAAAACATCAATTCCAGCCTTTGTTGATCCAAACAAAGGAGCCAATCTTCCTCCTGAGGTTCCCAGGAACTTGTTTGAACCATTATTCAAGCCAGATCGTGCCCAGAATCCCTCCTTCAAGCATCACCAATTTGGTATAATTTCTTGAATTCAAATCCTCCTATTACACAATATAAATGAGTTATGCATGCATATATGTGTTCATATTGATCATTGTAAATGTTTTAACGTGCTTCATGTGGGTTTCAGTGCCAAAATCAAAGCTTGCCATTGTTAGGGTTTGAAAACGTGTGAGCTTCAGTTTCAGAGATGGAGACATCTTTAGACCAAACTAAGGCCATGGTTGAACTCACAACCTAGGTTTTATGGGGGGTAGGCAAAATTTCAGGCTTCAAATCTCCCTATTTTGTAGGTTATGTTTTTGGCTGGCCGGAGATGATGACCGGAGCCACCGTCTGAGGTGGTTTGACCAGTCGGTGACCCTACGTAGCATAATGGCTTCTTCTGGTTGGATCATTCAAATCTCATGGACCCCACTTGTTGGCGCGTGTTTGACAACTCAACAGTTGTCCTTGTTTTACATTGTATAATTTTGTTTTGTTTATATACATGAATGATCCAGCAGCGCAGATGGCAAAAGCATAAGGGTGCAAAGGGCGAGACCTGGGTTCGACTCCTAGGTCTTGAAGTTTATTTTTTCTAATGAGTTTCTTGCAGATCCAATGTTCCAGGGGCAAGCGCGCATACCATGTGTCATCAGATCATCACCATCAGATCAATCATCCTCCAGATCCAGCGCCTCTAGCACGCAGGCATACCATAGACCTCCCTAACACAACAACACTAGATCCATCGCAGGCTTTGGGCTTGCACAAGATCTGGGCTTTGGAATTCAACAGCATACCTTCCAGTTTGCTTTCTCAACCCCCAGGCCCATTTTTTTCAATTTCTTTATTCTTTTTTATTTAGTTTATATTTTTTGTTTATTCATTTTTTTATAAAAAAAATCATAAAATCATAAAATCATCAAAAAATAGGATTTAGAGTTTTTTAAAGAAAAATTAATTTTTGCAAATTAATTTAATTAAATTTTAAACTTTTTTTCTTTAATTCAAAATTAGTTATAAATTAGGTTAACTTTCTAATTTTTTTCATAAAATACCAACAAATATTTTTAATAGGTAATTAGACTTTTAGGGTTTCAAAATTAGGCTAGTCTTAATATTTGCGCGTTATTATTTTTCCGTACGATTATTTCTTATTATGTAATTGTGCCTGGTTTGTAATAGTTTAATTAGGGTTTTCAATTTCCGCATTTTACTTTTCGTTCATTATTTATATAACTACACCAAGGCCTTGTAATAGTTGTAGGAACTTTATTTCTCGCCTTTATATTTCTTATATGCTTGTATATATTCAAACTTCTAGTAATTAGGCGTGCATGACAATAATTAATCAAATAATCATTAGGTCATTAACTTCAAGATAAAATATCTGAAAAAAGCACATTGTTGCGCACTTGCACCCTTAGGGTACTCCCCACTTTGGTTGCCTCAGAAAACAATGGCCATGTACCTCAAACGTAGGGATATCTTAGCAAAGACCCTCAGTTTAAAAGTCATCATAAAGATCATGGTCCCTTAATGTCCCTCGGATTTCCTACAAGAAATGATCTTGTCCCTCGATGTTGCCTATATGATGACAGTCCCTTCGAAATGCTAAGGTATCCTTACATGTTGCCTTCAATGACCATAAACGTCCCTTTCGATAGTCCCTCAACATTCGACGATAGGGCTACCTACTCACTAATAGTAGGATAGCACTATCTAAAGAAAAGGAGGAAAAGAACCCTTTTTCAAGTAGGTAGACAGTTCTTAACTACTTGCTCAAATATGATTCTTTTTTACACTTACGCACTTTCAAAATTCTTTTCAAAAATGCTTTATCACACTCTTGATGACTGATACAAGAGTTATCATAAAGCAAACAAAACCTTTCAAAACACGCGAACACGAAAACAATTTTCAAAAAATGAGCAAGTACCTAAGAGCCCGTAGAAAACTACGGATGGAAATGGTGCTAACACCTTCCCTTTCCATAACCTACCCCCCTTACTCAGAAAATCTCGAAAAAGGTCTTTTTCTGTTCTTTTCACCCTTTCCTTTATTGGATAAAAGAAAAGTCGGTGGCGACTCTTGCTTACCGCAAAATTTGAGAACAAAAAACGCAAACCAGTATAACAGTCGGTTCTACCACCGTATCACAGAACTGGCGACTCTGCTGGGGACTATTAATAAAGTGGGGTTTACCTTAGGGTCTAGTTCATTTCTAATATGTTTTCTTTGTTTGATTTGATTGCTTTAGTTTTAAGGGTACTTTTTGGGTTACTACAGATCATACACACGGATCTGGGGAAACCTTTTAGGTAAGTAGCAATAGATCGTCGAAACTATGCGGGGTATACCAACACGGTTGAAGCGATGGCTACATTCATGTGACACTTTAGTTGGTACCAGTAGCCCTTGAGTTAATCAAGGAGAAAACAGGGCCGCTGCGTGGTGTCACGAAGTGTCAACTGACCTTAGAACCTTAATTGAACAACTTGGCTATTAGGACGTAGTGAGATAGACATTTGGTGTATTCCCAAAGTCGGTTGATACTCGATGCTACACCCTTTGAGATTTGACTCCCGAGTTTTGTTTGGTTGTAAGTCAGTTGCCTATCAGAATGAAACTTGTGGGAAAGATCAGTGATATTGAGATCCCTTAGAACTCGGTTACTATTTATAGGACAGGTTGAACCAATCCAAACTTCAAGAGGGTATTACCTTAAAACCTATGCAAGCCTTAAAACTAAGGTCTTTGTGTGATTTGCTTGTGCTTTCTATATCTGTGATTTCTTAGCATAATCATGACATCATAACATGGCATATCATACTAACCATTTCAAGGATTTTCTAGGGCTTATCTTTGTCTTGTTTTGTAGGACATGGCATCTGCTCGCAGGAACACTATCCAAGTGAACCTTGTGAGGGTACCTCCTCAACTCAAGGAATTAGCATCAAGGATTCCTGAAAGCTCTCCCTTCACTGAAAAACATGGTCGACTTCTCAACTTGGTCACTTCAAACCATGATGAAGAAATGTTAAAGGTGCTCTTTCAGTTCTTTGACCCGTTACACCACTGCTTCACTTTTCCTGATTATCAATTAGTGCCTACTATGGAGGAGTTTTCTCAGTTATTGGGGATACCTATCCTTAATAAGTTACCATTCAACGGTATGGAAAGAGACCCAAAATCCGAAGAGATTGCTCAAGCTTTATCTTTACAATGATCTGATGTAATGACAAATTGGGAAACCAGAAGAGGTGTCCAAGGATTTCCAACTAAGTTTTTATTTAAGAAAGCTCACCATTTTTGGGATACCCTGGATTTACAAGCTTTTGAAAAAGTGTTGGCCCTTCTCATCTATAGGATGGTATTATTCCCTAAAACGGACCAACTCATACATGTGAATGCGTTTAAGGT